CTACCCCCTCTAGAGAGTAAGCACAAGATGCCGAACACCCTTGGGAGGATGCAGTGGATGCAGCGCCACCCTCCACGCGACTCGCCGAATACCTCACGGCGCATGCGCGCTTGGTCAAGTGATAACCTGGTCCGCCTACCAGAACCCGGCATGCTCCGTCGGCCCTGTAGGCATGCGAGGTCAAATGGTGTAACGACTACGGCATGTACGGCTGTGAGTACCCCTCCCCCCCCCCCCCCCCCCCCCCCCCCCCCCCCCCCCCCNNNCCCCCCCCCCCCCCCCCCACACACGAGAAGTGGGAAGGAAAACGAACCTCCCCCAACGAGAAACACCGCACACCACGTCAAGTCCGTTTCCAAGAGCGACGTGGGTATCAACTTGACGTGGAGGATACCACCACCGTAGCCGGACAAAGTTCCACCCACGCAACAGCTGCTGCTGCTGCTACTCATCCCCGCAGCGTTCTTGCCTGCAAGTTGCCTCCGCCACCATCTTCACGCTGCAAACCGTTCCGGCCTCTTCTCGCGAAATCGGTCCAGCACTGACGCTGACGCAGCTTTACTACTAGACGATGCACTGCCGAACCAAACTTCCTTCTGTAAACGAAGCAAGGCAAGGCCTTGAAAACACGAACAATCACCCCCAACTGCTGCTGCACCACACGTCCGTTCCTTTAACACAAGCAGGCCAAGGGGACCCACCCAACCGTATCGTTTCATAAAAAAAAACACGATTGCGTCCATCTCTATCCAAAGGGGAGAGTCCAGGATAAAATTAGCAGTGGATGACCCGCAGCGTGTTTTCTGCACTCACTGGCGAGGGCGATGAAAGGTGCGGAGATGAGGGGCTCTGAGAAATCCTGCGAGATGCCGAGGCGGGAGTTAACCTCCGGGTCGTTGGCGGTCTCGGCGGCGTTGAAGTACACGATGCGCACCTTGAAGGTCCGCGAATAGTCCTGCAGCTGGACCTTCTGGGCCTCGGTGACCGGGATGCCGACGTAGACGACGTTGCACTTACCGGAGGTCAACGAGTTGGTGAGTTCGCTCGTCCCCGTTAAGGTCACCTGAGGAGGAGAGGAAGGACAAGGGCGGGTGTGGGCAGGGGGAAGAAGAAGGGGAGGAGTCGACAGACGGACAAGGACGGGCGGGGGGAGGAGGAGGAGGAAAAGGCAAAAGTCTTGAGTGAAATTCGCGTGTACAGCATACATCCTGAACGATCGGCCCATGCTATGTGTTGGCGGGGGAAGTGAGAGTTCTCGGCGGAACGCAGGAGATCTTGCAAAGGGACACGATGCTGCTTGCTCTCCGCAGAACCGGAAAACACTGAGACGCGAGATTTTCTCTGAAGCCCCCCCCCCTTTCACGCTGAACTCGACGGCAACATCAACGAGGGTCGTCTTATACAAGATGCGGCATACTGACGGGTTTTTCGAAATATTTTTCGCCGTTTTTGGCGGCGGAGACACAAAACAAGACGCCAGCAAGAAGACCAAAGGCGACGTAATACCACGTTCAACGGCTGATGATGACCATGAGGACACACCAGCACACCTCAAACTACAAAAAGCTACCTGCTTTGCTCCCCAGTAGCCCTTGTAGAAGGTAGACGTCACGTAGGCGTCCGGCGTGTCTCCGTTGTCCTGGGTCTGGAGAAAAACGTTCCAAGCAGACCAAACAGAAAAGGGGACCCATGTTTGTCATCAAAATGTATATAGCAGGACCTCCCGCAGGTTTGGGGGGGGGGGCACTTGGATAGATGGGCTCAACGAAATTTTCGCCTGCTGCCTGGGCACATGCTCGAGTCGACAGCTAGGACCAGTCGAGAACGCAACAAATGATTTGGATCGAAAGGATAGTTTTCTCGCTTCCTACCTTCTCCCCCGCCCGCCCCACGTGGAACAGCACGGGAACTAACTCCCGTGGAGAAAACGCTGCCCACTCACCCCGCGGAAAAAAAGAAAAGTAGTGTTACCGCACGGCTTGTAAAGCCCCACGACTTAATTAAGGATGGCCCCGGGTAGACATCGTCACCATTATCGTCGTTTGTGCTGACAGCATTGCCTTTTTTTTTTTCGCCCCACTCCCTACCGCCGGTTGGATCCGCACCGTGGTACAGCATACTTTGACCAGATGCTCGGCCCACCCACGCCCACGGGGCATTCATAGAGCCCCCCTAACCCAAGGCGTTAATTCGAAGTATAGTATGACAATGTTCCCATTGTGGTCGTAGAAGTCGTCGTCGTCGTCTGAAAATGACCCGTTGTTCCGATCTGCATGATAGATACCGTCCCTTGAAACATCCGAGACGTGATCATTAATTATGTGAAAACTCCTGTCCAGACCAGCACAAACACCACTCGCACGCATACATTTTCCTGGGGCGATTGTTTACTTGTAGCTTCCACCGTAAAAAACTGCTGCTGACGTTGACAAACGTCATCGCCTGTCATGGCCTGCGACAACCAACCATGGAAGGCAAGATAATCTGCAGCATGTACATAGTCTATTTATGTACCATCTTTGACTGGAGTAGTACTTCGAAGTGCTTCCGGCGGCAAGTTCCAACGAGCTTCAACTTACTTTTAAGTAGCAATAATTATTCGTTTCTGTATCGATGATCGTCTGTGGAATGTCACATCGACGCGGCGTGCACAAGCAAGCGTGGGCCGACAGGGCAAAACACGAAAGGGAAGCACGCACACACGCACATCACACGCGCAGTTTTATTCGTTTACTGTCGTTCGTTTCTGTCGTTACTCGGAGAGCAATGCATTGCCTCGCCCATGAAGCCCGCTCACGCGGTTCCCAGATCGTGGCCTTAAGCCCTCGCGACTACAATATTGAATCATTTTACGATCTCGGCCGCACTGAGAATACCGTGTCGTTTGACTGGTCAGAGGTTCCCAGATCCTGGCCAGGTCATTTCTTACGATGTCTTTTTTTTGGCTTTTTTTAGGCTGTCTTTTTTTCGAAAATGACAACTGGCCAAATAGCCCCGTGTTAAAACGTCTTTTCTTGCTAAAATATGACAACGAACCATATTCGACAGCCTATTACACGGGGCCATTTGGCCAGTTGTCATTTTTCGAAAAAAAGACAGCCTAAAAAAAGCCTAAAAAAAGACATCGTAACAAATGACCTTATTTAAGGGCTGCCCTCGCGACTAAACAGACCTCCCTTTGTGCAAGTAAGCATTTTCCGATTTCGCCGGCCGCACTGAGAATACCGCGTCGTTTGATTGGTCAGCCGATTCGGGCAGAAGGATATGCCTGGTACCCAACAGCCTGACAACTCGTTGGACAATTGACTTTCTTTTTCTTTCTCCCATCATTGGACTCTGTCGTCTGCTCTTTTGGCCCCTATCCTCCGCTTCTACCAGCTAGACGACCCAACCGCATTGTACCGGCCGGATACGAAAAAAAAAAAAACATACCGGCAGCTGGTGCTCGCCGCTGCTGGATGGTTGTTTTGTGTGGTATCATACCCGACGGTACGATGTTATGATTCTAGTTCGTTGAAGAATATCCAAGCAAGCTAGGTGGTGTCAGCATTCGATAACACACCCCTACAACGGGCGGGGGCGCCTGACTCTTTTCTTGCTGATGAGCATGACACGCAAATGAGATGGTGTCGCGACACCTCTCTCTCCGCTCTGCAACGTCGGGGTCGCTGCCTAGCGTGTCAGCTGTCACCTCTTTGTTTTGTCATTATGATATACGTTCTCGAAGAGATGCATTCTCCTCGCTTATTGATTTAGGGCGAGAGCCTTGTAGAAAGTTCCTCCATGTACATCATCCACCGATTTTTGAGAATCCCCGGTCTATTTTTGGCTGAATTTGAGCAACATTTCGGACGCTAGACAATTTGCAAATAAGTACACGCAGGTATCGAACGAAAGCTACCATTTCGCCGGCGGGGACAGGAGAGATCACAGCGCCATGCCCCGCAAAACCTCAGCTTCTTCAAGCGAGTGTAATGGCGGACAGCTGGTCCTGCGGCCAGCCTCTTGACACTAGCGGCAAGCTGCATGGATGCAAGTGCGGCAATTGGTTCCTTCAACATAGAAGACGCAACGAACACTGATGGATGGACACCACACACTCACAATTTTGCTGGGGGCCAAGATGCACGGCTGGAGGTCCACCGTGACGGTCGCCGCCCACGCGGAGGACGCAAGGCCTAACAACCCTGCGGCAGCCATCCTCAACATCGCCATATTTTTCAGGCAGCCTCGCTCTCGCCCGCGCTCTTTCATCTATCTCCTTATACACAGAAGAACACAACACACAAGATTAGGCAGGGTGCCTGGCTCTCCCTGGGCAACGCTGCACCAGAGGATAGATATCCAACCGGAGCGCCTCCCCTGGTGGCGCACTTTCCCTACGCGTACACCGCGCTAATTGGGTGACTACACGCGAGCGGTCCGAAGAGGAGACGTAGACTGGATGCGAGCCAAAGACGAAGAGAATAGAGCGCCCAGGAAGAACACAAAAAAAAAAATGGCAGTAGCTTGCTCGGGCTGTCTTTCGGAAAGCGGTGTACACAAACAGGCCAGTCAGATCTTTCGCGAAAAGAATCTTGATCTTCACGAAACAAAGGGTTGTTTTTTGTTGTTGTTGTTGTTGTTGTCTTCCGTCCCGATCTCTCTCTACCTTCGTATGTCCGTACTGATACAACACTCGACGCGGTCGATTCCCGTGGTCGCAGGCTAACTTACTCTAAGAAGGTGCACTCAAATAAAATGGCCCCGAGGGGTCCGCAAGTCAATAGAAATCAACGACAGATATTCTGAAGTCCGTGGTGCGGATTATTGTCTCGAACGGTTGGTCTTTCTGTGAGAAAGTGTTGGTAGATTGTTTGCTGGATCGGATGGATACCAGATGGACTTGAGACACTCATTGCGCACACCTGCTGCTGCTGCTGCTGCTGCTGCCGTCCGATTTAGAAGGGTGCCACCCCCACCGACATGTAGATATCGAAGGATTTGCTTGAAGGTGATCTGATTTTGATCTTTCTCTCTGAGGGTTGATGTCAAATGGATAGACTACACCTTCATACATCTTACTCAGCAGCACATACATACATACATGCGCTCGTGGTTCTCGAAAATGACGTATTGATATATTGCAAGCGGACACGCATCTATCTCCCCACGTGGTGTGTTTGGTGCGTAGTCCACAACTAACGGGTCCTCTCCGTAGTTTCCCAGAGACAATGGTATGTATGATGTGTGTGGTGTGTGGTCCAAGGGATTGTGTTTTCTAGGAGTCCAGACGACAAGCTGCCCCAATTCAACCCAATGAGCAAGGGCTGCATACCAACGGCCCTTCGTATGGAACAAACTGTTCCTTCCGTGTGTTTCCTGTCCCTTTCGACAAGCGGCTGCATGCAGCCGCCCCGCAGCTCTAATTTCCACGATTTCTCCGCCTTGTGGATACGATATTCCTGCCTGCCCAACCAAGTTCTTGCACTCAAACGTACGTGTGTGGTTTTCCCTGCCTATGCACACACGCATTATTGCTGTCTTTGTCGAGCAGAGGACGTCGACAGCGTTTGGTTTTGTTTGGGGGTAAGACTACCTGCCCATGTAGACCCTCCTGTGCAGTATGTACTATTATATAACCGTGCATTTATTTGTTTTGGCATTGACAGATGACACATCGGCATATATAGTGTGTTCCATTTTGACGGATTCCGTCTGAGTATGCAGCGAATGCCATCTGTTTTTTTTTGTTTTTTTTTATCCCACCATTGGACTCTGTCGTCTGCCCCTCTGGCCCCTATCCTCCATTTCTACTAGCTAGACGACCCAACCGGGGTCACATAGGAGGGGGGGGTTGGACCCCCTCCTGCGGTTCATGCCTGAGGTATTTTTATCGCATGTCATCTGTGTGGATGCGTGGTTGTTAGTGAAAACAATGCGAGTTTGCTTGTGCCATGTCATGCATGTATACCGCAGACTACTACTGCTGTGTAAGGAAGGTCCGAACGAGGAAGAAGAGAATGAAACGCCAATCAATCGTACGGAACACGTCTCTCTGCCCCCTTCGCAATTTATTGTCATTGTGAGGTTTGCACACACGCACACGTGGATCGTGGCAAAACCCTCAAGACAGACAGAACCCTGTCCTGATCATGAAGAATCCTCTGAAGCGCATTTACTTGTTCTTCTGGTGAAGCAGCGCGAGCCAGGCCTTGCTCTCCTTCGGACTAAACAACGGGACAGAGGACTTCAAGTTTCTTCATCAGAACTCAGTCAGCAAGCCTGCACAAAAACCTATCCCGTCGACGTCGGGGTAGTCTACCCCTTGACACAGCAAGAAAAAACCCTCGGACAAACAACAGGTATAATAGTCCAGGTACATAGGTATGTTCTCAAGTGACGGCGCTTTCTGTTGAATGATGAGTGAGGGGCTCCTCCTTCAGGGAGAGGCCGTCAAGTTTACGCGTCCCCTGAGCAGTTCTGCCTGCGCCATAGCCTACCTGCCAATTTTACCTGGCTAGAGCAGCCCTGAATATTGATCCTTGCACTCGATCAAATAACCATAGCACTGCTGTTATAGTCTAGTAGCCCACCTGCTCGGGGTTCAAATGCGACTAGTATTATTTATTTTTTCTCCCGTCATTGGACTCTGTCGTCTGCCCCTCTGGCCCCTATCCTCCACTTCTACTAGCTAGACGACCCAACCGGGGTCACATAGGAGGGGGGGGTTGGACCCCCTCCTGCGGTTCATGCCTGAGGNGTCTTATGTATGTATGCAGATACGACAGAGCAAGCCAAAGTCCACAACCACAACTACGCTAGCGTGATCGATGATTCGGGTGGCTCAGTTGTGTGCGATGGGAGTGTAGAGCAGCTCGGCCATGAAGGGCCGTAGGGGTAGGTAAAGCCGTACAGACGTGTGGAAAAGCGTGATGTATCCGTGTTGTCGTGTTGTATTAATCGGGGGCGTGCTCGTGCTCGTCAAACCATCACCGTATCGAGTCACGCCTTCATGCTTTCTCACACAACCTCTATTTGAAGATGATGCGACATCCAGCGTTCGTTTCACCCAGAGGCTCCCTGGCCTATTATCCTTAGACCGATGGACCAAAGGGCATCTACCAATACTGTTGTATACCAATACGTACCCCTCAGATTCTGGTAGTACTTAAATGCCATAATCAAAGAGTATGCAACAGAAAAAAACACCGAAACAAAAGCAGGCTCTGCTCCCCCTCCAAGCAACGTCGAGAGCTCATCATATTTTACAACAATGAATGTCTAACCCTCCGCGTACATACAACCTGTGCTATTAGCCAAGGGGCGGGGCGGACAAAAGTCCCCTCTTCCGAAGCATGGAACAAACCCCGCCCTGGAGCACACCTTGGCCCCGGCTTCCGGCGCGCGCACGCTTTCCAACATTAAGGAGGAAACATGTGTCTCTTGCCTGCGTGTCGAAACAGAACCAAACGCAGGTTGACGGCGTTGACGGTCGGGCGAGTGGGTGGGCGAGCGCGCGAGCGAATCAACGAGGGCGTTAGCGAAGTCTCTCCCCCCATCAGGAACAGGCTTGATTACGTTCGCAAACAGCGGCTGTTGTACGTGTAACCGGCGCTCAACAACAACAAATACATGCTCGCGGTATACTGCTGTTGTATGCGGGAGTGGGGGCGGGGATTGTTCGCTTGATGTCGAACAATGCCTCCATCCTCTCCGGTGGAACACCCCCCCTCCCCACAGACATGGTGGAAATGCACAAGTACGTCTTTCCAGGTGACATCCGACTGCCTGTTGCCGACGGCACAGGGGCGGTGGATGATGTCAACTCAGTAGGACAAACAAGAAAGAAGAGCTCAGTGCACCCAAAGAAAGGAGCTGAACACCAACATCGCCGTAGGTACCGCAGTTAATTTTCCGAGAGATAACGCTCCACCTTCGCCCACAGGCACGGCTGTTACCCGATTTTTCAACTGATGTGCTGTCATTGGTCAGCCGGTTGGCGCGGTCGATGTTTTTGTTTTTTGGAACACACCAAGATACCTACACATCAAGCCACAGGTCATGGCACTCTTCGACGAGTTAGCTCGCACAGATGCTGAAACGTGATCATCGATCAGCTGGTGAGGCCCGTCGATACCAACAACAACAACAACAACAACAACAACAACAACAACACGCGTACACCGTGATATTGCGGGTCAGAGCACAGGAGGAATTTCTCCTCAACCAGGAGGTTGCCACTGCCGAAAAGGGCGGTTTCGGAAATATATCATCGATAGCTTTCCTGAGAAGCATCAGTTGGTGCTCGCACCCTTCTGGTTGTGGACAAATGACGTTCTGAAAATCGATCGCACTCCTGTGCTCTAGCTGACTCCCAACCTTAAGGTAATACACACCTCAACCGTTTCGGCGACGTGCTCAGCAACGTTTAGCACGAGCCTTCCTTGACAGGGTCGCTTGCCACCGAAAAGTCCAAAAGGTCGTCTCGCCCCTCCAGCTTCAGCCCCTTCTCGTTGGCCAGGTGAAGGAGGCAGATGAAGTAGAACGGAACGGTAACACCCGTCTGTTCCTCCTGGAGTACAGTTGGCGCGTGCGGCGTGATTTGCGGCAGGAGGGAGGAGGAGCGTTGGATCGAACCGTGTGTCCCAGCCATTGTTGTGGTTGTTACTCGGGGATGAGTTCATGGAACCGCACGCCGTAGTAGACCGACCATAGAAGTCGCATCCCTAGGCAGTGCCAGGACGGGGCCATATTGCCGCGGGTTTTCGGCGGCCAAGGCCATCTACCGTATATGACACAAAATAACACACCCCTTTGACCAATTTTCGAAGCTCGATTTCTCAACTGCAGGAACAATCACAGCGCCGAAAACGGCGGCGTTGAAACCGTCTCGTCGGGAGCTTTTCGAAAATGTATCGTTTCGTTCATGCATCCTCTTCGTCGTGGAGTAATCGAGCTTTGAAAATCGGTCCAGGGGGTGTGTTATCTTATGTCATATACTGTAAATTCACAAGGATGAAGTAGAAGCTGGTCATCATCCTTGAGGCTTGCTGTGCCAAACCAGATATGCCATGGGTGTAATTGGACATCGCAGCTAACCATACGTTTCACATTCGGTAGGCGCGGCAATAAACCAGATACCGAGAGGGACTTCGATTCGCGCGCCCGTATGCAATAGGCGCTATCTTGGGAAGTGGGGCTTATGTTTAGCATGCCTTAAAGGTCAGACCATTGACCACGCGTCCTCCAGAGGTCGGAGCAGTGTTTCTACTGGAACGATGAACGATGGCAAATCTTCCCTTGGGAGGGAGGGGGGGTGGGGGGAGGGGGGGGGGGTACTCATAGTCGTGCATGCCGTAGTCGTTAGACCATTGACCTCGCATCCCTACAAAGCCGGGACGGAGCACGCCGGGTTCTCACCGGACCAGGCTCTCACATCACCAAGCGCGAAGCGCCGTGAGATATTCGGCGAGTCGCATGAAGGGTGCGCTGCATCCTGCTAAGGGCGTTCGGCATCTTGTGCTTACTTCCTTGCGTACGGATGACAGCTGCGTATGACTTAATTTATGTTCTGGTGCGTTCGTTTCAAGAGACAGTTATATGCACTGTGTAACGGCTTCGAGGATGCTTGACCATTTTAACACAACGTGGTGCGATCATCCCCCTTGCGCGGAGTCAGGGTTCTCCACCCCGCACAGCATGATCTACCATTATGGTCACCGCAAAAAAAGAAAAAAACAGCGGTAAAAAAAAAAACGGAACCTGTTTGCCGAGCTCACGAAATGAATTGGCTTGTTTTACAACGTCGTTGCCAAGCGACGAAAACCCAATCCCGATGGTAAACACCGATGGGGGCGGGGGGAGGGGGGGTAACAGAGGGACACCCTGTGGTCATTGCGCTCGGCATCATTGTTGGTAGTGTATTCCCGCCAGGGAACAATCTCGGAATCATCATCGAACGCGATGCACCACACCCCTCGGAACACCACTTGAGAGCCTCACTCACCTTCGAGGCGACGTCGCAAACGATGTTGGAGAAGGTCATGTCTACCACCCCCGGAGCCGGCTTGACCACGTCCTCCGCTTCCTCCTTCCCTTTGTCGCCACCATCTGCCGGTGACTTCGACTCGACATCCTTGTTCTCTACCTGCCCCGAAACGGTTTCGCGAACACACACAAAACATGTTTGTGGTCGGTCGAACACCTTCCAGCTGCTGTTTTATTCTCAAGCGGCTAACTTGTTCCAAATTCCAAATCCGTAGGTCATACAACCTCCACTTGCGGCGGAGTAATTTCTGGAATTTTTCCGGCAATTTCGAAGCAGAATAACTGCTCAATGAAACAGTCAACCACACGGCAGGGGACAGGTGGAGAAAAGACAAAAGCTCGCCCAGTGTTTCCCTTTTCCCCGACTGACCCCGGCTAAAATAGTGCGTCAAGCCTACCGTAGGAAACATGACGTAGGATATCACACACCCCGGAACCGATTTTCAGAGCTCGCTCCACGACGAAGGAGACAGCAAACTTCGCAAAACGCTCTCGACGAGACGATTGATGCCAATGCCACCACCTCCATTATTTGTATTGGGGAGTGATCGGAGATTTGAAAATTGGTCCAGGGGGCGTGCTATCTTGCGTAATGCCACCTACGTTATGCCCAAAGGTGTAAGATTGGCGCCCGGAATCGATACAGCAGTCGTAGACCCTCCACAAGGCGGGATAAAAAAAGGTGGGTGCACGCTTTAGGGCGGGTGAAAGTGGCTGGCACAGATGGGATAGCCAAGACGGTTAATACGTTGGTACGGCGTGGGCGCCCGCCACAGAACGGGTGAAACGAATTGGCGCGTACATACCCGCATTAGACAGAGTAGAGGGCCTGCGACTGCTGCAGAGCGAAGGAAGGCCGCGAATAGAACACCCTCAGGGGTGACGTAGGGCGATACCCATGTCGACATGTGCCACCGTACGCTTTTGCGCACGATCGCCGCAGCTGAAAAAAATGCAACGGCCGGCACGTTCGATCGGCGAAATCACACGCCCACAGCGACAGGGGCGGGGCGGGCAGCATCTTCTGACGCACCCACCCGCACCGATAAAACACACACCACACGATGTCGGCGACGAGCGTGTACGACAGCGCCGGAATCTTGCACCACGCTGACACGCACGCCCATCTGGAACTTCACAGCTCATGGGCGAACCAACGCGCACAGGCTGATTTCACGGTCGCAACGGCAACGCGTGGCCCCCCAGGTATCAAAGACTTTGGGCAAACATCCCCGGCTGAGAGCAAAACACACACGGCGAAACACCTCCGCCCTCTACAAGCGACTAGAGGCATGAAAGGCAGCCTCTCTTGGAGCAACCGCTCTTGCCTGCTTCGACGATAGGCCAAACTCCACGTGCCATTTGAGGCAGATCGTCACACATGTGCCGGTGCAGTGCCCACACTTGTGTACCTCTTTCGCCAGGACCGAACACGTAACCGTACCCTCATGTTCTCACGCGTTCATTGCGATCCCGCGGAGAAGTCTACCTGGTAGGTGGTTAGTCACTCTCCGCCGCCACAATCAACCCCAGCATAACCGCCGCTGTAATCGTGTCCAAAACACAAGCTCCAAAAAATCCAGAAAAAATCAAATCAACCTCCGCAACCACCTCTGAAAACGTGTCCAAAACAAGCTCGCCAATTTTATCTCCTCGCCACCTCCGCCGAACACCCTTAGCAGGATGCAGCGCACCCTTCATGCGACTCGCCGAATATCTCACGGCGCTT